AGGCACATGAAAAAAAATGCTCAATATCACTAATTATCAGAGAAATGCAAATCAAAACTACAACGAGGTATCACCTCACACCAGTCAGAATGGCCATCATTCAAAAGTCCATAAACAATAAATGCTGGAGAGGCTGTGGAGAAAAGGGAACCCCTCCTACACTGCTGGTAGAAAGGCAGTCTGGGGCAGCCGTTACGAAAAACAGTATGGAGATTCCTCAAAAGACTGAAAATAGACTTACCATATGATCCAGCAATCCTACTCCTGGGCATATATCCAAAGGGAACCTTAATTCAAAAAGACACATGCACCCCCATGTTCATAGCAGCAATCTATACAATAGCCACAACATGGAAGCAACCTAAATGTCCACCGACAGGTGACTAGATAAAGAAGTTGTGGTATATTTATACAATAGAACACTACTCAGCCATAAAAAACAACATGCCATTTGCAGCAACATGGATGGACCCAGAGATGGTCATTCTAAGTGAAGTAAGTCAGAAACAGAAAGAAAAATACCATATGGTATATCACTTACAGGTAGAATATATATTAAAAAAAAGACAAAGGAACTTATTTACAAACAGAAACACTCACAAACAGAAAACAAACTTACGGTTATGGGGGCAAGGTATGGGAAGGGATAAACTGGGAGTTTGACATTTGCAGATGCTAACTACTACATATAAAATGGATAAACAAGTTTATACTGTATAGCACAGGGAACTATATTTAATATCTTGTAGTAACTTATGGTGAAAAAAGAATATAAAAACGAATATATGTATGTTCCTATATGAAGTATTGTGCTGTACAGCAGAAATTGGCACATTTTAAACTGACTATACTTCAATAAAAATATACACACACACACCAAAAAAAGGACATTCCCAAATAAAAAACCTAACTTTAGCCTTAAGGAACTAGAAAAGAACAAACTGAACTCAAGTTAGCAGAAGGAAGAAATAAAGTTTAGAGCAGAAATAAATGGAGAACAGGAGAACAAAAGAATTAGCCAAACTAAAAATTCTCCAAAAAGGAAGACAAAATTAACCAACTTTTATAGACTAATCAGGCAAAGAAAAAGAGGACCCTAATCAACAAAATTATAAATGAAAAAAAGATACATTTCAACTGCTATCAAAGAATTATAAGATACTACTATGAACTATCCATGCCTAGAAATGGACAACCTAGACAAAAAATGGAAAATTCCCAACATACAAGCTACCAAGAGTGAATCAGAAAAATCTGAGTAGATCAATTACTAGTAAATAGATTGAATCAGTAATCAAAAATCTCCCAACCAAGAAAAAGCCCAGGACCAGAAAAGGGTTCACTGGTTAATTTTACCAAACTTTTAAAGAAAATTTAATGCCAATAAATTCTCAAATTCTTTAAAAAAAACTAAAGAGGAGGAAACACTCAAACTCATTTTATGAGGCCAGCATCACCCTGATACCAAAGCCAGAAAATGATGATACCAGAAAACTACAGACCAACATCCCTGATAAATATAGATGCTGAAATTCTCCATCAAATGTTAGCAAACTAAGTTCAGCAGCACATTAAAAGGATCATTCACCATGATCAAGTGGGATTTATTCCAGGGATGCAAAGATGGTTCAGCATATGCAAATTAATGTGACATATTTAATAGAATGACAGAAAAAAATCCCATGATCATCATCAGACACAGAAAAAAATGTGACAAAATGCAATATCTCTTCACGATAAACACTCAACAAATTAGGTACGGAAGGAATGCACACTACATAACAAACGCCATAGATGGAAAGCCCTCCCAGCGTCATACTCAATGGTGAAAGGTTGAAAGCTTTTCCTCTAAAGTCAGGAAATAATACAAGGGTGCCCACTCTCACCTCCTACTGGACACAGTACTGGAAATCCTTGTCAGAGCAGTCAGGCAAGAAAGAAAGAAAAGGCATCCGAATTAGAGAGGAAGAAGTAAAACTGACACTGCTTGTAGACGGTATGACTATATACAGAAAATCCTCAAGACACCACTGAAAACCTTCAGATCAAAGAATTCAGTAACACTGCAGGATACAAAATTTACATACCAAAAACAGCATTTCTGTACACTAACAACAAATTATCTGAAAAACAAAACAATCCCATTTACAACAGCATCAAAAACAACAGATACTTCGGAATAAACTTAATGAAGGAGGTGAAAGTGCTCTAGTCTCAATACAAAACATTCATGAAACAAGGGAAGATGAAACAAATAAATGGAACGGTTTCCCATGTTTATGGCCCGGAAGAACGTTGGTAAAGTGTGCATACCATCAAAAGCTATTTATCTGTAGGTTCACTGCAATCCCTATCAAGATTCCAAAGGCATTTTTTTTAAACAGTAGTAGAAAAACAATCCTAAAACTCATATGGAGCCACCGAAGACCCCAAATAGCCAGAGCAACAACCCAAGAAAGAAAAAGAGGGAGGCATCACACTTCCTAATTTCAAGCCAAACTGTAAATCTATAGTAATCAAAATAGTATGGTACTGGCATAAAAGCCAATACATCAATAAAGCAAAACTAAAAGCTCAGAAATAAACCCATGCGTATACAATCAACTAATATCTGACCACTGGAGAAAAGACAGTCCCTTCAATATACAGCACTGGGAAAACTGGATGCTCACATGTAAAAGAATGAAACTAGACCCCTATATTACACCATTCACAAAAATTAGCTAGAAATGGGTTAAAGACTTAATCATAAGACCTTACACCATAAAAATCCTAAGAAAATATAGGGAAGCAGCTCCTTGACTTGGGTCTTGGCAATGATACTTTGGATATGACACCTAATGCATAAGCAAAAAATCAAAAAACAAGCTGGAGTACATCAAACTAAAAAGTTTCTGCATAGCAAAAGAAATGACCAACAAAGTGAAAAGTCAACCTATAGAATCGGAAAAAACATTTGCAAGCCACATGTCTGACGGGGTTAATATCCACATTATACAGAGAACTTAACACAACTCAACAGCAAAAGAACCAAACAATCCAATTAAAAAAGACCTGAGAAGACACTTCTCCAAAGACGATACATGAAAGGCCAAGAGATACATGTAAACATGCAATAGCACTAGTCATTAGGGGAACAAAATCAAAACCACAAGGAGACATCACCGCATGCTTCTTAGAATGGCTGTTATAAACTAAACAGGAGGTGACAAATGCCGGCGAGAATGCGGAGAAAAGGGAAGCCTTGGGCACTGCTGGTGGGACTGTAAACTGGCAGTCACTACAGAAAACAGTATGGAGGGATCATTAAAAAATTAAAAACAGAAGTACCATGTGATCCAGCAATTCCACTTCTGAGTAAATATCCAAAGAAAATGAAAACACTAACTTGAAAAGGTATCTGCACCCCCATGTTCGTAACAGCACTATTTACAGCAGTCAAGACATGGAAACAACCTAAGTGTCCATACACAGGTGACTGGACAAAGAAGTTGTGGTGTATGTATATATACAACAGGCTATTATTCTGTCACAAAAACCAAAGAAATCCTGCCATTCGTGACAACACAGATGGATATAATATGCGAAGTGAAATAAGTCAGACAGAAAAATACTGTATGATCTCACTTGTAGGTGCAATCTAAAAACAAAAACCCAAGCTCATGGGAAAAGGGATGAGATTTGTGGTTCCCAGAGGCAGGATGTAGGGGGAGGGGAAATAGGAGGAAGATGGTCCAAACACACGAACTTCCAGCTGCATGATAACTAAGTACTAGGGACATCGTGTCTAGCATGACTATACATAACACTGCTCTGGGACATATGAAAACTGTCACAAGTAGATCCTAAGAGTTAACATCACAAGGGAAATAAAAGTTTTTTCTTTTTTGGCATTCTCCTTCTATTGTTATCTATGAGAGGATGGATGCTGACTGAATTTATAGCGGTAATCATTTCACAGTATACGCAGGTCAAACCATTACGCCGTACACTTGAAACTTACACAGGTGTGTCAATTGTATCTCAATAAAACTGGAAAAAACCAATTTTAAAAAAGCATATAAAGAAAAATGCCATATGACATCATTTATATGAGGAATCGAAAAAATTGTAAAATAACAAGGACATAAATGAACTATTATTTTGATTTCCTGAATATGTAAGCACATCTGCCTCTCCTTTTTTTTTGGCTTTTTTTTTTTTTTTTTTGGTGGGGAGGGGAGGTAATTAGGTTTATTTATTTACTTATTAGTGGCGGTACTGGGGATTGAACTCAGGACCTCATGCGTGCCACACATGCACTCTGCCACTGAGCTATACCCTCCTCCCCACATCTGCCTCTCCTTTATGATCGGATTACTGCATTCTGTTGATTCTT